CTCTGTAGTGTTTAACAGCTTGGTTTTTCTCACTAGTGATAGGTCTGACCTAATTAGCATAGTCTCTCCTGTCTTTTTGAAGTCATGAAGAGCATTTCTCCTTTTCCCTTTGCCCTCTGTGGAAAAACCAAATAAGATAAAAAAACAGGCTGTTAGGGAGAGCAGTGAAGATAATTATTTCAGTAGACAATATGTAAAGTTTATTAAGAACCAAAACCACATCAGCCCCCACAGTAGCAAGGAAAAACATGTCACTTGAAGTCATTAATCTGTATTCACTCAAACACAGAGATTTATTAAAAATACAGAAGGTAATTTCCGATAAACAATTGCATAAAATACTAGTTTACAAAACTAGTCAAGAGTCAGTGCTCAGAGTACAGAGTACACCTAATTTTTCATGCTTTAGTTTCCTATTTCTCCTTTCATAATCTTTTTGCTCTCCTGTCTACAAGTTGCATCAATGCATGTTGAAAAACAAAAAAGATGTTGCGTAGCAATTAAGTTACAAAAGAGGTTCACCACAGCCTGTTACTTTTTGCAAATACAAACCACAAGCCTGATTCTTCATTACCTTGTACCATGTGTCGTTATCTTTGCAGAGTGCAAAATGAGTTTAAAATGCTACCAGGTCAGAATGGTATTGTTTTACATTCCTTTTGCAATGATAACTGCACAAGAAGCAGGGCAGCAGAGAATCAGGCCTCAAGTCTCAGAACAGACTACAGGAGAGTTTCCAGAATCTCCAGATTAAAATTCCTCCAACTCGTTATATGGAAGGCTGTGATCTCTTTCACTGGACACAGCACAATCATAGACTCATAGACTTTAAGGTCAGAAGGGACCACTATGACCATCCAGTCCACCCTCCTGCACAACACAGGCCACAGAATCTCACCCATTCACTCCTGGAATAATCCTCTCACCTATATCTCAGATATTGAAGCCTTCAAATAGTTTAAAGACCCCAAGATGCAGAGAATCCTCCAGCTGTGATCTGTGCCCCATGCTACAGAGGAAGGCAAAAAACCATCCAAGAGATAACTTATCCCGTGAGCTTCTCAAAATAGTTTGAAGAGGGTTGGGTTCATTCGGTTTTCTTCTTGCTCTTAGATCAGATTGCAGCAAGCTTCAGATATTAAAAATAGAATTTTCAGAGAGAGGATATCACCCCTGTAACAAATCCCTACAAAATCTTCCCCTCGCCTCTCCCCCTCACTCCAAACCGTAAAAGCTGAAAAATAGGATAGAGCAACATGTATTCATTTATTTTTCAAGGACAAATTGTAATAATTGCCCATAAGGGGCTGGTTAATAGAGACTCCTTTTACAATGGTGCTGATTACGCTCCTAGCTTGTTGTTATGTGAAAAAAAATATTTTGTTTACAATGAAAATACTAATAGATTCCCTAGTTTCTCACTTTTTTTTTCTGCAGCTCCTGTATTCAGTGGACACAGAACTAATCACATGCTAAGAGGAGAAAATTATGGAGAGCCCCTTGTTAAAATATCAACAGCACATCACTGGTACCCATTTTCCTTTAATATGTAAAACCAAGCAACTTTGAAGTTGTCTTTTCCACAATACATATGGCAAAATCAATGTTCCACAACACACATTTCAATCTCATGTTCCAGGACTACCACAGTAAAGAGATTCTTTTAAACAAAGGTTTTAAAATGCTGAAAACTCTTACGGGATTTCTTTATTACTGCTGAATTAGTTTTATAGAGCCTCCCTAAGCCAAGAGTTCTTTGACAAATTAAGGTGAGAATCTATTCAGTTATATCAAAGTATTTCTTTGCAGTTTCTGCTGATAACATTTCCTATGCACTGATAAGTGTCATTATCATAAATCCTTATGATAATGGGTTCTTAAACTGTCACTAGCTAGAATAAGAGAGCTAGATAAAAAACTGAAGTAGCTGAGCTCAGCCTGAAAGTAATGGGACATAGGGTTGTCTTTGTGGGTTTTTTTTTCCTTTTTAATGAACAGTTGCCCAAAGAAGATTAAGAGTTTGATCCTGCATTTAGCAATATTCAACAACCTGATTTACTTTAGATCTGAAGCAACTACATTCTGTGGCCATGATTGCAATACAAGAGGAAAGAGTCAAATTAATCCTTTGTGTAATTCCATTTGAGCCAAGAGAGCTATACCAGAGATAAATTTTAACCATAAATACTTATAATTCTAGTAATAACCCTCCCCCACAGAAATAGTTGAACAACAGCATGAACTGTTACTTTAAAAATAATAAAACAGATTTATTGCATCATCTTAAACAATTTTCAGTAAATGTTTGTTAGATTAAGACCCCTCAGATTCTGAGCAATATTCAGTAAATGATGAAGGGTGACCCCTGATGCATCTCCAGAAAACAGGACAAACCCTAATTTGTCCCCATCCACACCTGCTAGAATGGCATAGCTTCAGTCTTCTACAGCTTTTCCTCACTAGTGAACAAGATGTTGAGTTTTTTGTTTGTTCTTGATTATTCATTTGTTAAACAAGATATCTACTGTATCTTGTTGTGAAATCCAGGCATAAACAAGGCAATCTCAACATAGCAGTAGTTTTACTTCAGTGTAGTTTGTGAAGGTAATCCCAGGAGGCAGAGGAGAACCTACAGATTACCTGGACCATCTACATGAAGATAAGCCTGCAATAAAATAGCTATATCTTTATTAAAAATCCACCCTTTTTTTTACTATAAACACATCCATACAATACACAGCATAGAGTAACTTCAGACTTGTGAAATAGAACTAAAGCTCTTCAGCTGTTCCATTTAGTCTAATCTCCAATTTTACTGAGTTTTCAGAGATCCCCTGATGTTTCTATAACATTAGGGTTCTAATATATTCTACCTGAACTCAAAGTGCTTCTAATTCTTATGACTTTATCTCTTCCAAGTTGTAAAGAAGAGAAGATACATAGGGTAAGCACCTCCACACTGCTATACAGTGAACCCTCGCTACTTCGCGGTTCGACCATCGCGGATTCACGACTTCGCGGACTTTTTTCATTACATTATGTATATACGTGAATCCGCGATGGTCGAACCGCGAAGTAGCGAGGGCTCGCTGTATACATGTTAAATATACATGTCCCTACTTCGCGGATTTTCAACTATCGCGGTCGGGTTTGGAACCTATCTACCGCGATAAACGAGGGTTCACTGTATCTGCCAAGGCCATAGGTACTGGAGAGCCACAAGGCATTTCCACAAATAACAAATTAGTAGAGAAAGGCACTCAAAAATGTCAAGAACATGTTGCTTCACACAAGAATATCACTTGGGAAAGATATTCTCAACACAAGGCACAGGCTGCCAAGTGATTCCACTGATGATTACTGATGATAGTGATCAGTGACACAAGTAATCAAACTAAGTCACCTGGCTGAACAGGTAACAGACTAATTAGAGAGCAAATTACTTGTAGTATAACCGATAACCTGTTCAAAGTAAGATTAAGAAAAGCACTTCACTTTGCAAAGAACAGCTACTAAGTACAGTGCTAATGTAAAATGTGCTTTCCAAATGAATTGAGCAAGCAAGCAAAGAAAGGACTGAACTGCATCTAATTAAAAATATTTACTGAGGCACAGAGGCAGAATGAACAAATAGCAAAGATTATGTGTGTTAGGAATACATGTGAAAATCAACCAAAGGAGAGATCATTCTGCAAGAGAATGCCATACTCACTCCAAACTGCAAAAAGAAATACAAAAGCAAAACATGTTAACAAATACACAGCTGAAGGAGAAAGCTGAATAGTGATGATGAAGAAACAGACGTTTCCTGACAAAGGAAATAATGACCATAGAGACTGCAAATAGACACTGGAGCTGAGTTCAGTATATACAGTGATAGCACACTATTAAAATCAAAATTATGCATGTTGGATAAAGCACACAAAATGAGCATATGTAGCAAAGCAACACTGGCATATATATAAGAAAAGATAGCAGCCACTAGAGTTTGAAACAAAGCAAGATGAGAACCATACTTGCCCTGAAGAGCAGTCTGCAAATACAGATAATCAAATGGGGGTAGAGCTAGTCTTCAAAACAGGATGAAAAAGGATAGTCTTAAGGAATTCAATTAAGTTTTTAATGAACTAGAATCTACTAGTATAGTATACGTCCTGGATATATCAAATATTGATACAGATTTCAGCATCACCACCGCAAATGTATATAGAAGGTAAAAGTTAAATCTGACCAGACAGCAAAATTAGGCATTAATGAAATAATTCTGACACCTGCCAACTGGGTTAACAACATGGGCACAATTATAAAATCAAAGATGTTAAAGATTATGTTGAATCAAAAGTTTTTAAAAATGCCATCAAACATTTTTGTGATCAACATAATAATTTCTGTGAGCAACACAATAGCAAACATAGTTTGAGGAGGTCATGCCTGGACTACTAAATTCAGGATTGTTTTCAGTTTTGGATGAAAGCCACAGTTTTTGGCAGATCCATATCAACAGAGAAAGTATAATACATACCTTTTCTTCATCCCTTTTGGTAGAATATATTTAAGTATCTTCCCATTAGGATTGCTTCAGCACTAGAGATGTCCCAAAGCTTTGCGTATAGGGATTAAATGAATAACTGCCCATGACTCCTGATTTGGGGCATAAATGATCAGCACAAACAGAAATTGCATAGAGTTCTGCAATGTGCCAAAGGGGGAAGGCACTAAAAAAATGCTAAATCAGGTTCAGTGAAATTAGTTCTTTAGGACACCCATCTTGATGAAAAAAGAGTTTGCCCAAACTCAAGACATTTTTTTAGGAAGAAGGGTCCTTTCAAAAAAGGGTGGGGTTTTTTCCACAAAACGCATTTAGACTGCTTTTTTTCCCCAAAAAACTCTTCCGAAAACAGGCGCGGAAGAAGACATGCAAATTTGCATCAAATTTGCATATCTTCTTTCAAAAGCCGCAGGCAGTCTAGACGTGCCCTAAGTGAAACAAGGCTGGCCATATGGATCTCTAGCTTGTCACAGTTAAGTGCTTCCTTCAAAATGCTACTTGAAGGCAATACCGAATAGCACTTCGTAATCTTAACTTTCAAAAGTTTTCTCGTTGTAAAAAAAGTTGCTGAAAATGCTTGGTTGCTTCTGTAACAACAATCTGGAAAAAATAACCAAACACGTATCCTTTTATTTGTGCCTTACAGTTGCTTTTGAGGACAGTTGTCAAGAAGGTGGGAGAAAGGAGAGAGGTTGTTTTCTTTGTTCACTGTTCATTGCTTCATTGATACTGTTTATTTTAACAGTGACTCCTTCCTACAACAGGCATGCCAGGAGCAGGATCCAGGGTTAACCTTTTATTAGAAACCTGACTCTCAACTTTAGTAAATCCTGTCTTCACAACTCATCTGTACACAGCACCAAAGCCCAGAAGATGGAAGATAATGGTAACAGCCTACAATGTGTTCTAAAGTCTAAAGTCAAACATATATAATGACAGGCCTTCTAATTCCAGGAAAAGGTATCTGCTCAGTATGATGCTGGGACAGAGCAGAAGAACTGACTGCTTTGAGGTGTGTGTACTCTGACCTGATGGATCTAACATCTGGCTATAAAATGAACCTTTGCTTTAGAGGTCTGTAGTCCTTCAAAATGCTGGATTAACCACAGAAATAAATCACCAACATTTCAAGCTACTGTCCACTGCAAAAGTAACACTCTTGAAAGTATTTGATGTCTCTTTCACCTCCAACAGTGTGTTATGTACAACCTGCTGCAAAAGGAGCTTGATGGTTGCTGGGTATGCAAGGCAATGGGGAAACGTGCAAGGACTCCCACCTCCACCATCCTAGTATCCCTGCATACTGGGCAGCCACAGAGAGGTTGGACAGCAGAGCCACAGCTCCACACTAGCACTGGTGGGGGTGAAAAGAGGAAATGTGACCCATCCCTTTCATTTCCATGCTTTCTAGAAGACTTGTATATGGGTCTGCAGACAATTTGTATGGCTCCCATTTAGAAGATGGTAAAGCTGTCATTGTAATGTGTTCTTGAGTAACACAGGAGGAATGCTAGTTATGTTGGTCCTCTTGATGTTGCTACTGCAGGGTGGCCCTCAACATGGATGCTGGGGGACAAGTACAAGTCTCTAAACCTACCCTAACATACTAAATTGTAAAATTCCTCTGCAGGGCCCAGGTTGAGTGCAGTTGAATTGACTGCCATCCAACCATGGCAGGATAGGCCGAGATCTCCTGATTTCCAGTCCTATATCATCCCTAGAGAGCCATCCTTCCTCTCCTTCATAAGGTTTAAAAGGACATAAACTGCATGTAATACTCAGCAAAAAAGCACTCTGAGGAAAGATGTCATCCCCTGTAAAAAAGAATACCCATTTCCCTCCCAACTCTGGCCTCAGTTAAAGTATTATCTTAATGAGAGATAAGCTTTTCTACTAAGAGGCTTTTCTTTCTTTGACTTCAGAGTACATTTTTCTAGTTTTTATGCAACATCCTAATTTCAAGACTTTCTATTCTATTTTTCTCTGGTTATGTTGCTCACAAAAACAGTATTAATGAAAACAGAAAATCTGCTAAGAAGGGTAAATGCTATGCTGCATAGGAGAGCAAAACAAGCAGCCATTGGCACTCTGCACTGAATGGAGTCTCTTAATCAGAAGGAATACAGTCGTCAAACTGGCAGAGTACCATTTTGCATTGCTAATGGCATATAATATGATGATTATTTACAACTAGGGAGTGAGGAAAATAAATCACATTAGACATGTAAAATGCACACATTTATGCAAGTCACAACACTCCTATTACTATGAATATTTGTATAAAGCATTTTTTGTTAAAAATAATACCTGCCCTTCATATTCTTTTCATCCCATGTGACCAACAGAAAATGCTGTAAAACTTGGTTTTAAGAAAAATTGTAGAGACGAGACTTCTTCATGTGAAAATTTGATACCTTTTTATAAATCTTTAATTCCCTCTTCGTCATGTGCTAATGTGCATTCCTGGCTCATAAAAATATCAGTCATTTTAGTTACATGGCTTTTATTGGGCTAAGCAGTCTGTTTTTAACAGAATAAAAAAATATACTGACTGGGAATATTTGGAAGTCATTAAGAATATCTAAGTAGGCCTGAATATCATGAAAAAAACCTTCCTGAGGAAAGTTATTAGCTTACAGACTAGTTGCTCAGTGTAAGTGATAGGTACCTACAGAATATTACCAATGGGTAATAGCTAGCTAGTAAGAAGAACTTTACATGTTTATCTCGTTCATCTATTCTTATTTTATTATTTATATATCAATAAAGAATAAGACCTCTCACAATGGACATAGTTGGTTCACATCAACACATCAATATATGTTCCCATTAATGCATTCTTCCCTTTCTATCTTTCCCTGTGTCTATTGACATATTGCGACTTCTCAGTGCTATAAGTCAAAGATTACATCCATGCAGAACCTAATACATTCAGCCACTAAACCTTGGTAGGGGCCTGTAGGTACTACCATAATACAATTAATACAAAGTAAAAAAATAAACCTCATAGATTCATTTATCATCAACAGAATTGGGACATTTTTACATTAGCAGAGAGATGGATCTGAAAATATAAGAAGTCAGTCTTCTGTCTCCAAGTTCTAATACACGGGTCAAATAGCTTCATTTCTTATTGCATTTATATAATATTTTTCAGTGTGTACAGGGCCACTTAAATAAAATAAAATAAAATAAAATAAAATAAAATAAATGGGGAAATTATTCAAGGAGAAATCTTAGCATATGAAAAAATATATTTGTATAGGTTAATGACACCATTTTCTCTAATGTATATTGTTTTTGTGGGAATTTTTAAAGTTTGGCATTTTTGATCAAACTCACGCTGTGATGAAAATAGGAATAAAAAGCAGGACAAACAGAGTCAAGGCTCTGAGCTGTCCAATGGTAGTGAGTGGCAAGACTCATCTTCTTTGCCCAATAGGATAGAAGAAAAATTTAAAGTGATGGCAGAGGAAATTAGAATGTTGGGTGAAATCGGAGAAGTGTTGCTGAGAAATGGAAAGGTCATCATTTTTTCTAAAAGTTTGCAGCTCAAGGGCATGAAAACAAGGAGGCACATTCAGGATGAAAATAACACAAAAATGTACTGAAATGGGCATATACCAGAACACTGAAATCAACAGGAGATGAAGGCATACTTCACTTTTCATAAAATATTCAGCACCTTGCAGAATTAGGCTCGTATCTTAGAAGTATATGACAGGATTAATTAAAGATGTTACTGTCAATATATTTGTGGCTTGCATGTTCTAAATACAAAATAATGTTATTTCAAAGTACTGTGCAACTCATTGTCTCTCCTTGTATTTAAGAATAAATTGGATGCTTCCTGGAGATATATCCCAAGATCTCAAAATCTGGGCAGCCAGATAGTTCTTGTGATTATCTGTATATAGGCAGGGGGTTCCCTTTCTCAACTCTGCTTAACCACCACAATTCTTGAGGAAACTGCAGTTGCTTCTTCCAAGCCAGTACAGTGAAAGTGCAGTCTACAAAGTACTATTTGCACATTATGCCTTCCAAACGTGTCCCACAACTCCATGATCTGTGTGTGTGTGTGCTGGACCCCTGCATTGTTTATCTTCTCTCCTGCTTTCTGCAGGTATATTGCCCATTGCTGGTAGACCTTCTCCAGGAGCTGCATGTTATCTTTTCTTTCTGTCTGTCTAGCAGTGTGTCCTTCACTGCTGTAGGAAAGAAAAGGAAGGAAGGGAAAGGTTTGTGGAAATCTCTGTAAAACATTTTTTCTGGAGTGCCTCGACAAAGAACCAATAGGAATGCACAGCCAGTCTGTCTTCACTATCAAATGGAGCACTTCAGGAAATAAATTCAACTAGACAGCTTCCAAGAGTTGATTACTTAATACTGTTCACTCCTTGCACCTTTCACACCACGATTTCATCAGGGACCCAACAGAGACACACATGAAATTAGAATGAATTGAGACTTAGAAATAGCTTATTCCTGTTGATGAATATGCACACAGAGACATGCCTGCTATTTGGACAGAGACTCCACACCACATACTGTCAGATGTTTTAGATGTTCATTGTCATCTCACAATTATTTAATCTATTACAGAGCAATAAAGTACAGATGTTTCCTCTTACCCTAACAGCTGAGATTTCCAAGAAACAAGGATAAAATACCCTGTGCCATTTTTAGTTCATCCAGCTCCCTGTCAGCCTTGAGCCACCCCTCAACGAGGGGCTGAGTGAGAAGGTAACGGTAGATCAGAAGCCCAGAGCTAACCCACAAAATGCACGCTGTTTGTGAAAAGCATGTACACAGAAGCACACAAACAGAATGAAAAAATCATTGGCACAGATAATATATTTGAGATCCCTGGTGTTCAGAAATTATCCCCCAGGAGAAAGGATAAGATTCCTTCTCCCTCCTCCGGTGCAATCTGCCAGAGCAGAAGGGTTGTTCAACTCACAGTGACACTTGGTTTGTTGGCGCTCTGCAGCCATCTGGCAGGGAGTAGGTAGGTGTGTTTGTTTTTACTGAGGTAAGGATGCTGTGGGTGGAGATTTTTCGACTTTGTCTGTATCCTTTCCCAAAGGTTTGTAAATAGTGCACATATCCACCCACCATACTACACGGGGAAAGGGAAAAGAAACGGATGCCGAAAAGAGAGAGCGGGAAGAGAGATCGCTGGGGAAGCGAAAAGGGGGGAAACTAACCTGCCAAGGGGATGGTGATGGGAAGCAGCAGCATCAGATGGAGCAGCAGGGCCGGCAGGAGTTCCTTGGCCCACATGGTGCCGCTGGGCTGCCCCAGCAGCTCGCAGGGACAAGAGGAGGCTCGTGGAAGGATCCCAGCGCCCAGCCGGTCACTAGAGGAGGCTGAGCGCGCCGCGCGGCTTTTTATTGCGATGATCTAAGTTTGTTGTGTGATTAACTGGAAAGCTCTGGGTCCCAACTCCCTCTTACGGTAAGAGCCTGTTTAACAACATCCCCTCTGCCTGCTCCCCCTCCCCTGCGCTGCCTCCTTCCCTCCCTCACCCCCCCCGGCCGGCAGGGGCCCCCCCCCTGCCGGGG